CCTACGAGGAGAGACTAGAGAACCTGGACCTTTTCAGCCTCCGCAAGAGAAGGTTGAGAGGTGACCTTGTGGCTGCATATAAGTTCATCACAGGGGCACAGAAGGGAATTGGTGAGTTTTTATTCACCAAGGCGCCCCCGGGGGTTACAAGAAATAATGTCCACAAGCTAGCAGAGAGCAGATTTAGATTGGACATTAGGAAGAACTTCTTCACAGTTAGAGTGACCAGGGTCTGGAACGGGCTCCCAAGGGAGGTGGTGCTTTCCCCTACCCTGGGGGTCTTCAAGAGGAGGTTAGATGAGTATCTAGCTGGGGTCATCTAGATCCAGTACTCTTTCCTGCTTATGCAGGGGGTCGAACTCGATGATCTATTGAGGTCCCTTCCGACCCTAACATCTATGAATCTATGAAACCTGATCTAAATTAGATTACCTCGGAGGTAGGGTTAACTTAGATTGGGTCAGCCATTTAAGACAAATCTAACTGTCCTGGAATTTCTTTATGGTTCACACTTAAATTGACCTAACTAGGGATCAAAGGCCAGGTACAGACATTACAATTTTACCTAAGTGATCAGAAACTGGTTTATACCTGTAACAGAGCAGAAGTTCGGTGCACAGACTGGTTTAAAAATGACATTACAGGGTTTAAGATTTGCCCCCACACCCCACAACCAAAGAAAGAATGCATCTTTTGTTCTATACCAATTAAAACTATACTTGCAGAAAACTGTATGCCTTAGATTGATTCTGCTTTGGTCTTTTTGAATGTCCGTACCTAGCCCAATTGTAAGGTGTGCACCTCAGGAAACTAAGCTAGATCAGGTGGCCATTTTAAACATGATTTAACCTCCCCCTAACCTCCTGAAATGTCTGTACATAGTATAATAAAAGTTCATTGCAGCACACTTCTTACTCCACTTGAATACTTTACTAGCCAGTGCAAAAAACCTAAAACCAAATCAGCTTTATTAACCTGCTGTAACAGATAATATTGACAGTGCTGCATAGAAACAGCCATGTCATCTGAATTCACACAATATAGTCCGTCTAGCATGGGGCACCATCCAGGCTAATATATCTGCTTCTTAGCCAAACTAATGATGTCACCTTAGTTAAAGTTTGGTAATAACAGTACAATATAATTAAACATGCAAATACATTTCAGTAAGTATTTAAGTTGTTGCATGAACCAAAAAAAATGTTTTAAGTTTCCAGAGAGTATGTCTACCCTGCCTCTGTCCTGTATAGCAGTAGCTCACACTTTAGGAGAAAGTTACCAAAAACAAAAAATTACTGAGAAGCAAAGTTAAACATAATTTGAGACTTGATCCAGATAGGCTCCAAAAAAATCAAGATACTTCCTCTTTTTCTAAAAACTCCAGTCTGAAAAATTAATCTGGAAATCATATGAACACAATCATAAATCCAAACCCAGTACCTTCTATTTTAAATATCAACAAAATGATTGTTGCCTTCATGCAAGTGGGCATGGGATTCACATTAGCATCTCAGTATCATTTGAATGCTGATCTGTTCTTTTCCATCTCTCTCAATTAAATTCAAATAAAATAAGGCATGGTGAATAAGGTCATGTAAATTAAGTAAAGTGCATTCTGTGTGCAAGGTAGCTTCATTTGTTTGCATTCATAAATAAGCCTAGAGACATGTGGGGAGATAACAAAATGTAAAAATATCTGATTATTAGCTCAATTGTCACGAAGTTTCCATGCATGTTTAACATCCAGCCAAGGTCCTCAGTGTGAAACACTGTAATGAAATCATTTATCTTCCTAGAAATCAATTAAAAGGTAATTAAAATTGTTAATAAAGAAAAAAAAAACACAGACTTATTTTCCCCTTGTACTACATCAATGCAATAAACAGGAATGGCTAAAACTTTATAATGATCACTCTCTGGCTTGTCATCAACATTTTCCTAAGTCTGTCTGATTTCTGTTTGCATTCTACTTTCCATTTTACTTCTACTTCTCCCATTTAAGTAGTTTGGTTTCTGGTAGAACGTCTTCCATTGATAAGACACTGAAGAACTACCAGAAAAGGCGCTGACATGCATTTTGTCACTGAAAAAAAAATTAACAGAAAAATAAATGTTTAAACAGCCTCATTTAGGATGAAAAGGAGATGGGAAATATAAGTAATGTATAGGAAATGTAAATTCTAAATGAGACTGCAATAGCGAACTGCATCTCCATAGTCTTAATCCATGACAGATGCACAAGGCTGGTACTTGTACTCAGATGGTTTTAGTTTAAACCCAAGCCACATGATAGTAATTCAACATCTGCTAGCTGGATTACTATCAGCTCTCATTAAGAGTCAAAAAAGATTTATGACCATAGAAAATTAAAGTGCCAGATTAAATTGCTTAATACGTATTCCCAATGTAACATCAAAGTAACATTTCAAAAGATTAAATTATTGTTAATGGAACTCAACTGAAATCACTTCTTAATAATATATCAGATGTTTTCAATCCAGTATCCTGAATGATGCAGGTGTACATATTGCTAAATCAGTTATATGCATCCCTAGACAAAGACTAATTTTACAAATTCTACAGCAAGGGTGTCAAAGTCTTCTAGCCCTGTGAGCCAGATGAGCAGGCTGGAGCCAGTCCACTGGCCAGATTAAGCCCATGGATCATCTCCCACACCTGC